ATATATATATATATATATATATATATATATATATAGGTTATTTTGTTTCTAGTAACTATTGTGTACCAGAATGCACAGATCTGGACCATCGGATGAAATATAATCATAGGTAATGATCTGAGGGTTTATGATAGTAGAATAGGATAACATATACTATATAATCACACAAATTTCAGCATAAGGGTATTTTAGTCAATTAACCTATATTAAAAAAGGAAATTTTCAGATTTTTATGGATAATTAATTCATTTATCTTTAAAAATCTGAATATTTTAAATTAATTCAAAATTAAAAATTCGATTTTATTCTATCAGAATGATAGAATGTTAACCATAAACTAGTAAATATATTTTTCGATGTTATTCTGTCAGAATGACAGAATGTCAACCATAAACTAGTAAATACATTCTAAAAAGAATACACAAAATCAATTCTTGAACTAATAATATCCAAATAATTACATTGTATGATTATGATTCATTGAATAATAACAACATTCTGAAAGAAAAAAAAAAACATCACAATCTAACAAAAACACTAATATATTCTGATAGAATATTAGTTTTTAGCAACACTTTATACATTGTAGCATAACACATTCTGGTATAATACACTCTCGTTCTCTATGTTTTATTCCTTCTCCACATCAATGTTAGTCTCTTCAAAACCTAAATCCACAAAGAAAACATAATTAGTTTCAAAAATTAAAAAATTCAATGCATTATAAGAGAATAAATTACAATAAATTATGACAGAATGTACTTGTTGTTGACAATTATTCTCAAACATTCTAACATAATACATTTATATAAAATTAAATTCTAATAGAATACACTTTTTTTGCATATTTGATTTTCCTACAAAGTTAGTATTTTGTAGAATACATTGACAAATAGTTTATTTTATTAGTATATGTGATAAAACCATGAAAACTTGTGAGATTAATTTAAAGAATATTCTCCTTAAACAACAACTAGATTTGATATGTAAAGAGATAATTTTTTTTGACTTTCGTGTGTTTAATTAATGTTCATTATTATGAACCAAAAAAATGGAATATCTTTTTTATGGATTAATTAAAAGTAGCAATTCAAAAAAAAAAAAAAAAAAAAAAAAAAAAAACTGTTGTCGTTCATGTATGATTCTACAGCAAGCAAAATAAATGTGGTTTTGGGATCCCTTTTGACACACAACGATACACAGTGTCGCTACTTTTGTGATTCCAAAACAAAAAAAAAATGCAGACGCCTTATTGAATGGAATTGAGATTGGAACCGAATGAAATTGAACTATTTTACTTACAATTACAGTGGGCTTCCGACTCTTGAATTTCAAAGAGTTTTATATAACGAAGAAGAAGAAGGATAAAACTTTGTTGCAATCTCTTACGGCCATTTTGGTGTTGGTGTACCGTGGCAATCACAATAACGAGAACAGAGGCGATTTGGAGGAGATATCGATTTCCTTTGAGGTGTGACTTGGTGTCTAGAGTTTTAATACGTAAAAAAAACTAATCCCTCAAAAAAAGGGATATCAATGGTTAAATTTGGATATTAATTAATACATATATGTAATATTACTAATTTACCCTTAAACAATTTATTTAATTATTTATTATTTCTTGAATTCTTATTGGTGCATTTAAACACACAATAATTACTAAAAACATTTGAACATATATATATATATATATATATATATATATATATATATATATATATATATATAGAGAGAGAGAGAGAGAGAGAGAGAATACATTATCTAATTTTAAGGTTTCTTGACTTTCTTACACTTCACAATATCTGACGATACGATAGTGAATTGGTCATATATTTTTAGATATGTCGTACTTTTTTTTTTTTTTTTTTAAATTTTAGATTTGTCGTATTTTATAATTCTAAATTTGTTGGATTTGTCGTTTAATAATGTTGAATTTTTAAATTTGTAGTTGTTAAAAAACTATATTTTAAGCTTTTAAAGTTATGAAAAATAGTTTTTTAGTTCTAAATATAACAAATTATTTTAGCAAAAAAAAGTCAATTTTAAGCCTATAAAATGGAGGAATGAGGGTGGGATCGGGGGCTATGTAAACGGAGGATTCGGGGGCGGGGGAAGGTATTTCCACTCCCGTTTGGTCCTGTTGAGATCCCTATCTAAAACCCTTAGTTTGACCAAAAGTCAACCCATGCCGAAAGTCAATGGTCAAATTCAAAGTCGACAACCACAATACCAAAAACCGACTCTCACGTCGCGACCAACCCATGGTCACATCATGGCCAACAAGTTCAGGCCAGATCCAAAACTTTTGAATTCGACAACTCAGTCGCGACTCAAAACCATCGCAACATCGTGAGGACCATACCCTCATGTTGTGACCAAGCTAGTCCAAAACAATCGAGATAAATCTTATTGTCGCATCACGATCACCATATGTAGATAGGGGCACTTAATGTATTCAATCCTTAACCTTTAAGGCCACCCATTCCAACTTTATGGAGGGCCTTCTTACTCCAAAAACATCATAAAAATCGATGCTTTATAGATATGCATGTCTTGATATCGTAAAAGGTCAAAATGGAGAAGAAATGAAACCACACTCACATTAATAACATCAAAACTCAGCCAAATCTCAAATCCATAAAATAACCTTCAAGAGACCATAAGGACCCATAAAGTTGCCAAATTTATGGAATCCTCCCATCCAAACTTCCACAATATGAAGAAAATGGAACAATAAGCCTATATCTAGAAGTTAACATCATAAAGTTCGAATCTTGAATTCTTACAATGCTTTAGAAATGGCTCAAACTCAAACTCCAAACTTGCCAATAGGTCTTCTACACCACAAGGGTCTTCTTCTTCCTCCCAAGGGCACCAAAGCTCCAAGAACAAGCTCACAAATGAAGAAGAGGCTATTAGGATTTGATCAAAGCTCTACAGGGTAATGAAGGCTGGAAATGAAACCCTAAATCCGAGATTAGGGGCTTAAATGCGAATGAAACCCTTGGGCTTGGGCTGCAACCCTCATCACGTCGTGACCATACACATGTCACGTCGTGAATAGCCTCCGGATAGACGATGTGACTCATGGTTTTTCCCAAAAACACTGTATTTGACTCCTTAATACCTACACTGGTCCATTATGAAAAAACGAGTGTTACATAAACATAACATGTTTTAAATAAGAAATTCTAAACAATTCGAAGACCTTGCTGTTAAGGTGTGTTTGGTAGAGACAGAAAAAATAGAAAAAATTATTTTATTTGTTTGATTAAAAATTTGATTATTTCCCATTTTTCCCATTTCTTTTCATTAAATAAATGGCGGGAAAATAAAACTTACCTGGACACCGAGAAATAAAAAAGGGATAATTGGCAAAAAAATGAGGGTGCGTCTTCTCCTCTTCACTTCCCCTTCGTTGAGCTCTTTCTGGAAATTTCATCGTCCCAATCTCTATCGTCATTCTCCATTCGATTAGGGCTCCAGTTTGGAGCGATTTTGTTCCAGTGATTGATTCTAGTATCTCCCCTCTTCTCGGTTCTACCTGTCATTCTCCGACCACTGCAGCATTCGACAACCAACATACCGTCCGTCTATCTTGTCGATTTGAAGTTCAAGAAGAAACATAAAATTAATTACAGGGGAACAACGTTATGTTTTTCATCATTGGTATGTTTTAATGACTTTATTTTCATATAAATTAACTGAAGACGAGGAATAGGAGTTTTTGAACAATCGATCGGAATTAGGGTTTACCATCAATCAGAAAACCTGCGACGATCACTCCTCACCATCGTGACTCTGGATTAAACTAAACTGTATTTTTAGGCTATGCTTCTGAAATTATCTTGATGCAACATTTTACTTAATGGACATTTGTGTTCAGTTTCACACCATGTATTTCTGACTCAATCTAGGGAGTCATGTACAGCTGGTGTTTGTTTCTGAGTTCACCTTCACATATCTTTGTTCGTTTGTTTGTCTGCTAGGATGATTTTCAAGTACAAATTCTAACGTTGGTGAAATTCTGTACCGATGGTGTATTTGTGATTCTCCTATTCATCCTGCTTCCCTCACTCCAGTTGAAGCCTTGGTCCCGTGTTATAAAGTTTTGAGTTAAAGTTAGTTGCTGTTTCTGGATTTGTTCTTTAGTCTTTGTTGTTGGCATGAATATAACCGCTTTGGAAGTGTAGTTTCACCACTCAAAGTACCATGTTTTCACCTCGTCTCATGTTGTAGTTCTGGTTTCTCGGCTCGCCATTAGTAATTGGTTATCTGTCAAGCTTTGGTGTCCTACTTGGGTTTTAAAGTCTTACATTGTTGTCGTTCGTTTTGATGCTTCTTGTGCAAGTTGTAAAATGTTGTTTAAATATGATAACATGGTAAAAAATTAATTTCCATTTCATTGCTTACTACAACTAAACAAGAGAATTGATTCTTAGGTCTGTTGTACCAAACAATGGAATCAATTTATTTTCTCCGGCTTAATTCTCTTTCTCTTAAATCTCATGTCTTCATTATCTGCTCCAATTCCATTTCCCTTTACCAAATGCATCCTAAGCTCAGTAGAATGGGAATGTCTATTTATTTTAAGACTTTTTCTTTGTTACAGTATTACTTACTTTGAAATCATATTTGACTTTGTAATGAAATATGTGCCAAGGGGAATCCACTTATTAGTTAGAGGTAATTCTTAACTTATCTTATCTGTAGTTTTGCTCAAGCATTGTATTCTACTAGTTGAATGCTTGTCCAGCTACATTGATTGCTAGCTAATAAACTTAAGTATTTATCTCTAACACCAACACTGCCAGTTTCTTAATTATATCTCAGAACAAACTTGTTTGGTTGTTTGTTCTGTAATATCTTCTAGTTTTTTCATTCATTCATTCATTCTTATGTTTCTAAAAATTAATTCCACTTGCTTTTTCCATTGCTATTTTTAGGATTCATTTACAGCAGCCAAAAAGTGGGTTGAAGAACTTTAAAATCTGCATATTATGGAAACAGATGCAGTCCTTCCTCCTCCATCACAAGACCCACCAAGGATCCAGCGCCTTGATGAGTCTGTAGTCAACCGAATTGCAGCTGGTGAGGTCATCCAACGCCCCGTTGCAGCCGTCAAGGAGCTCGTTGAGAACAGCCTTGATGCGGGGTCCACCTCCATACATGTTGTTATTAAGGATGGAGGCCTGAAACTCATTCAAGTTTCTGATGATGGCCATGGAATCCGTGTAAAACCAAACCCTCTCACTACTGTTTTTTTTTTCATCAAATGCTCCCCATAAATGTCCATATATATATATTTTTTGAAATTTGAGCTTTTCATTTAGGGGAAATTTTTTGTTTCAGTATGATGACTTGCCGATTCTATGTGAGAGGCATACAACATCAAAGTTGTCTGCATTTGAAGATTTACAGTCAATTAAGTCGATGGGGTTTAGAGGAGAAGCCTTAGCAAGCATGACTTATGTTGCTCATGTTACAGTCTCCACCATAACCAGCGGTCAGTTGCATGGTTACAGGTATAATATTGTTTTCATTACCCCTTTAAATTTGTAGTTTTACATGGAATTGGTTTTCATTATGGTTTTTGTGTGTTAGGGTATCATACAGAGATGGTGTGATGGAGCATGAACCTAAGGCGTGTGCTGCCGTAAAGGGGACTCAAGTAACGGTTGGGATTCATTCTTTCACATCCTCTTCATCTGTTTCATTACCCCCCCTTTGATTAGATGATGTGTGTGTTTTTACCAGATTGAGAATTTATTTTATAACATGATTGCACGAAGGAAAACTCTCCAGAACTCTGCTGACGATTATCCAAAAATTGTTGACCTACTTTGTCGGTTTGCTATCCATCATAAAAACGTGAGCTTCTCCTGCAGAAAGGTGAGTAGTTTAACTAATTGTTTTGCATGCATCTGAAACTAATAATTGTTTTGTTTTCCATAATTTTGGGAGGCATACTGCATAACTGCATAGGTTTTTTAATATTGGTTTTAATGTCTTGTACATATCCACTATCTGATTTTTAGCATGGAGCTGGTGCAGTTGATGTTCACTCAGTTGCTATGTCTACAAGGCTGGATGCTATCAGATCTGTGTATGGGGTCTCAGTTGCTCGCAGTCTGATGAAGATAGAGGCTTCAGATGCTAATCCATCTACTTCAGTTTTTGAAATGGATGGCTTTATATCCGATTCTAGTTACTCTGCAAAGAAGACTACCATGGTTCTCTTCATCAATGGTATGTGTTATGTGTTACACAACTTTGAGAAATCACAAACAAGTAACAAAAAGAAACAAAGAAAAAGTGAATATGCTCTAGCACTTTTTTCTTTTGTGTGGTTCAGTGATAATTGACACCCTTGAACTTCTGAATTTTGATTTGTGCAAATTTATTGACATTCTTGCTGATATTTTGGTTCTTGTTATAACCTAACTTTTCCTCACTTTTTCACAGAAAGATTAGTCGAATGTACTGCTCTGAAGAGGGCAATTGAAATCATCTATGCTGCAACTTTACCCAAAGCATCAAAACCTTTCATATATATGTCACTTATCTTGCCTCCTGAGCATGTTGATGTTAACGTGCATCCCACAAAGAGAGAGGTAATGATGTTTCTTGCATGATTTCTGTGTTATTTTCTCTTGACTTATCCAAATTGTTTTTTACTTTCACCACCTTAAAATTGTGTAACCGATGAATGCATGAAAGACCGAATGAATGAGGTTTCCAATACATCCTTCTTACTCTAAATTTTAGCTTATAATTTTATACAGGTGAGCCTTTTGAACCAGGAGGTTATTATTGAGAAGATACAATCTGTGATAGAATTGAAGCTAGGAAACTTAAACGAGTCAAGCATGTATCAAGAACAACAGGTAGTCTTTTGATTATAGAAATGTCAGAGCTTGCTTTTCTTTTTGGTTTGGTTCATCTAATATATAATTTCTTTTATGTGTTTGAACAGGCAGTGGATTGCTCTCCTGTTAGTTCAGTATCTGCAAACAAAGCTTCTTGTGTAAATACATCAACATCTGGTATGCAACTATGCAAGTGAAGTGATGCTCTTTCTTTTGTTTTGACTTGATATATCTTTTCATGCTATTACTTGTTTTCTTAAAGGGTCGCAAAAAATACCTGTAAATAAGATGGTGCGGACAGATTCTCAGGATCCTTCTGGGAGGATGCATGCTTATTTGCAAGTTAAGCCTTCTAGACACCATGAAAGCAGTTGTGGATTGAATTCTTTAAGGTAGGTTTTATACTATCTTTGGATATTTGGATCTTCAGATAAATAACCATACCTGTACATTTCCATTAACTAACTGCAGGTCTTCCATCAGACAGAGGAGGAATCCCAAGGAAACTGCTGATCTTACAAGTGTTCAGGAACTTATCGATGAATTTGAACGTGATTGTCACTCTGGTACCCTTGCTCACCACATTCGTTAAGAACTATATACGTATAATCTTGTGTTGCTGATGTCTGATGTTGTTCTTTTTGTCAGGTCTTTTGGACACTGTAAGGAACTGCACGTATGTTGGTATGGCTGATGATGATTTTGCTCTCCTTCAGCATAATACTCATCTCTATCTTGCCAATGTTGTAAATTTGAGGTAATATACCACCTCAACCCCTCTGTGTTAAGTTTGCAGAGTTTCTATAGCTTAGGCATTAAATTCTTCTTTCTTTTTGTAGCAAAGAGCTCATGTATCAACTGGTTCTGCAACGATTTGGTTACTTCAATGCAATACAATTAAGTGAGCCTGCCCCATTGCAAGAACTAATCATGCTGGCACTGACTGAAGAAGATCCGGATTCAGAAGGCATTGAGAATGATGACTTAAAAGTAAAGATAGCCCAAGTAAGTCTCTCAGTTTGAGGTTCCTCTGGTTTTAGCATTATGATCATCATTTAATGACCTGTATGTATGTATGTATGTACACAGATGAATGCTAAGCTTCTAAGTGAGAAATCTGAATTGCTGGATGAATATTTTGGCATTCATGTGGATCCACAAGCCAATTTGTCAAGGCTTCCTGTCATACTTGACCAGTACACACCTGACATGGATCGGGCTCCAGAATTTCTTCTTTGTCTGGGAAATGATGTAAGCTACACCATAAACATACCAACATATATACAAATATACAATCATGCACACATATAAATACATGATCATATCTTGTTTAGGTGACATGGAATGATGAGAAAGTTTGCTTTCAAACCATTGCTGCTGCTCTTGGAAACTTCTATGCTATGCATCCACCTCTATTGCCAAATCCATCAAGTGAAGGAGGTTCAGATTTTTATAAAAGACAAGGGAAAGGAAATGTTTCAGGAGGTACATGTATTTCTTCATTAACTGATCCCTTCTTTTTTGAATTAGAGTTGAAGTTCTAAATTAAACAAAAAGTAGGGTGTAAGTTGAAGTTGGTCCCTAAACTATTGTCCAATTACTCATTTAGTGACATTTTTTTTTGGCATTCTAAGGTCCTTTATCTTGTTTTGTGTACATTACATCCACTTTTAGGTTAAAGGGAAATTTGAGAAAATATCTTTGGGTTTGTGTTGAAAATGCCACTACAAAACTAAAAACCCCTTAACCATTCCCATTCAAAGTCCATCTCCCTTGTAGTGAGAAGTGAGGGTTTCACTGGGGCATTTTCGGCACAAATACAAGATAGGAATATATTTTAGAGGAGGGTCATTTTTTCTTTTGCTTTCAAATTTTCACATTGAAAATCTATATGGTTTTAGCAAATAGCATTGGACTTCCAGTTTATTTCTTATTAGGACATTATACTTTGACAAATCTATCCAATTAATAACAGTGAAAAATGGTTTGTATTTGAATGGCATTGTGGTTGGAAGAATGAAAGTAGGATGCTACAAATATAATAAATAAAAGTACATTGCTATTTCTTGTATTTAACCCATTTTTGTTTAGCATGAGACGCCTAGTTATCCTGTTAAAACACTGAAATGCATTTCAGGGAATGATATGGTAGAGGAAGGAGTTGATGAGGAGCTACTTTCGGAAGCAGAGAATGCGTGGGCCCAGCGAGAATGGTCAATACAGCATGTTCTGTTTCCTTCCATGCGGCTCTTCTTCAAGCCCCCAACTTCAATGGCCACAAATGGAACATTCGTGCAGGTATGTATGCATATGAATTGACCTTCTTGACCTTGCCATCTTTTTTATTTTTTATTTTTTTCATTTAGCTTTATTTAACTAACTAATTTACATGGCTTTTTTGGTCCCTCCCCGCCTTACTGTTTCTTAATGTTCTTTGCTGGGTGTTGAGTCCATGTGAAATGATTAAGTTTTCCCTCATCTGCTTCTATTTATAAATGTTATGTTTGCATAAATATGCATTTGAACGTTTTTGTGTAGCGTATGTAGTGAAAAGGTTGTTTATGCAGGTGGCCTCTTTGGAGAAGCTATACAAGGTTTTTGAAAGATGCTAGCCAGCGTTATTCCTTTTTCTGTTTATCTTGTAACAAAGAATACTAGAGATGTTTGGGTCCCACTTAAGTTTGTTGTTCACTCACATATCTCGATCTGTGGTTTACCTTGGGAATCCCAAAAGCTATTTTCGTTACTAGACAATTTCTAGTGCTATTTTTGATGCTAAGAGAGAGTGAGTCCTTGTACATGGTCCAACGCATATCAAAATACCCATCTTGTTTGGATTGGGAAATGTCAACGTTGTTTTGTAAAATCTTGTGACATGGTCTACTTACTAGGCTTGCAATCGATGAGTGGACATCCAATCATAATTGGATTGGATCGGTATGGCCTCAAAGTCCAGTTAAAAACAATCCAGTCCTTATTATCCAATTGGGTATCCATATGTATGTCATATGGGATATCGACTATTAAAGTTGGCAATCGACAAGTTTTATCATCCGATAGTTTTTCCTTTTAAGATGTTGACCCTGGTTAAGCTATCAATCACCATTGGGGGTATCACCTTCGACTAGACTACGACATATTGAAGCCAATTTGCACAGATATAAACGACATATTGAAATAATTACTTATATTGAGTTATTATAGAAAAACTCTTTTATAATTTTTGGCTCATATACATATCACTTATTTCAGCCAAACTATATTTACCAATACATGGGTATCCTAAATCTTCAATAATGCACATTAGAGAAAAAGTATACTCGTAAAAGATAACATATATTAAATATTTTCCCTTGTACAACAAATACGATCAATTATTACAATAGCAAAATTTAATCAAACGAAAAGGTAAATAACTTTTATAATCCGTATCTAACCCAGTTATATTGTTCCGGGAGATTATCTATTCTCGTAGCAAGGGCAATTTAGTCATCTTGGAATAAAAAATAACCGCAATGGCAATTATTTCTCCCGTCACGTGATACTCGTATGACCTAACCTAACCGAATCCAACACAGATCAGTTGAAGTTTTACTATCGAGTAGAATAGCTCACTCCGATTTACTTTGCAAACTATAAACATTCCCAACGACCCCAACAACACTAACCATGACAGCTAAACTCAACATCAACCAAGCCAAAAACCTCTCTCGGCTACTCAAACCGGGACCCTGGCTACTCAACCGGAGCGCGATAAGAGCCGGGAATGTAAATCCCAATGAAACAGCTGTTGTGGCCCCCGTGAACTTAAAAGCAGTCCATATACTTGGGATCATCGTGGATCCCAAGTACACGACTGCCAATAGCACAAAAGTCAACCCTAGACACCTCTTTCGGCTCTCCGATAAGGGAGCCGATCCATCAAAAACCAACGCATCAACCGTTTGCCTTAAAGAAAAATGAATCACCGGAAAAACAAGAACCAAATGAAACACGTATCCAACACGCACAATGTATGTTAAAGCCATACTAAACCGAACCCCTAAAGGTCGGTCAAAGTTAGTCAAAATGTCCGATTCCGTGTCCTTTCCGAATAAAAGGTAACCCGCGATTGCGGTCGAGGCGTAGATTGTAACGCAAAGAGCAGTTGTGAGACGCCCGACTTTGTTCATTTTTTGAGGCGAACGGTTTTCAAGCTCATTGTAAATCGGTTGAACATTAAAGTGGCAAACGTACGCGTTTGACATGATTGGAATCACGACTAGTAAGTCTAGAATCGCCTTTTCAGACCCGAAATCCGGTGTTAATCTTGGAGTTCCGATTTTACCCTCGAGGAGTTTAATAAATGCAACGATAAAAGCTACGAGTACAAAGACAACTGCAAGGGCAACCGAGGCAGCTGAAGTTGTGCTTAAAGAATCGATTTTGTTGAGAGCACATAAAGGGGCAAGACAAATGATTACCACTACCAAGATTACTATTTTCCGGTGATCCCAGAACCCGTTTCCTAACCACTGATCAAAAACACCGGTGTGCCTGAGGGAACCCGACATTACATCACCGATTATGATCAAATAAACTACTAGAACGCCTGCATTGTTGACTATGATACAAATTTCTGACAAAATTCTTGCTGGTTTTCCTAAAGCTTCTTGAACGACCTCCCCATAAGAATTAGATTTAGATTGTACAGCGAATCTGACAAGGAGTTCGACGCTAATTTCAGACAGAATACCCATCAAGAAAATCAAAATGAGTCCAACGATTAAACCCAGAACTTTCATGGTGGCAGGAAGTGCCATGATTCCGGCCCCAATTACGGAAGTGGATAAATTAAACACAGCTCCATAGATCCCAGAACCAGAACTAGAAGCAGAATCTTCTTTTGGCACAATTACAAGGGGCAAGTGATCAAAATCGATTTCATCGTTTAGATCATCGTAATCTAGATCATCTACAATGTGGGATGACTTAGGGTTTTGAGATCCATGATTATTTTGGTCTTTTGATTGCAATTCGACAGAAGAATCTTTGGGGATTGGCTTATAATTGCTCCCCATTGACGAATCAAATGGGTATGAATCTGTAACTAAATCTACAGAAAACCGAAGAAGAAAAAGTAATCGAGATTGAGATATACTACGAAGTAAAAAACGAGTCAGATTGTGTACTTACAAGATCGATGAAATGGGAACTTGATTCGGAACCTTTGATTAAAGGATTGAATGAAGAAGGATTGTGATGGATCACTAGATCTCAGGGGTTTGTCGATTGATTTAATGACCAATGGATCGAGGAGCGAGAAAGTTATTGGAAATTATTTGTCCGAAGGGGTTTGCTTAGCAGATAAACAGTAGGTGTAGTTTGACTTTCAAATTTTGACTTCTACGTTACTATTTGGGCTTAAAATGAATCCAGCCCAACTAAAATTACACTTTATAGTTTGAAACAGAGTAATTATATTTGTCCTTTTCAACAGGGTAAATTTTTTTTATACACATTTTGCTATTTAACTTGTATAATTGTAATATATATATTTAATAAGTTAATTGTTTAAATGTATAAAAAAGAAAGTTGTTTAAATATGATCATTTTTTTTTACAAATTTTTTAAAATTTTTTATAATTTCTTACAATATTTTTATAATTTTTTCCCCTACAAGTTTAATACAATGTTTCAAATCTTTGTTTATAATATTTTTGAACTTTTCTTATTCTTTCATATCATTTTAATATAAGTGTTTCAAACCAAATATTTTATAGATGTTTCAAATTTTTCTTACAAGTATTTAACTTGTTTTTTTATTTACATTTTCATATAACTTTTTTATAACTTTCATACATTTATTTCTAAACTTTATTTTATAACATTTTTAAAGTGCTTCATAGATTTTTTTTATGATAGTTTAATATTTTTTATAATATTTTAAAATACTAGTTTAAACGTTGTATTAAATAATTTAAAGTTTATAAACTTCTAGCTAAAAAGTATTAAAAAGTTGGAATAATTTTAAAACATTTACATTATATAGATTTTTTTTTTGTTTTTTTATTTGCTAAGTAATATTTTCTTTTTATTTAAAAAAAACCCTCCATACTTATTGTTACATATTTAATTTATTTAATTTTATTGTTAGATCCTATTTAATTTAAAAACATTGGATATGTTTAAAAACAAAAGAAAAAAAAATTATAAAAGACTATATAAAATATTTCACAAAACAAAATATATTTAATAATTAAGAAGTAAAGTTCAAAATTGATAAATATTTAATTATTATTTAGGAAATTATGGATATTTTAAAAATAACATTTGAAAAAATCAAAAAAATAATACAAACAAATATGAAAAATAACATTGCTTTTAAAAGTTGGAAAATGACTTATCGGAGTAATTAACTTTTCGTTTTATTCATATTTAGACAACTTTCTTTTCTCGTACGTTATAGCTGGTGACAATGACAATATATGAACACATATAACAAGTTAAAATAGTCAAATGTGTACAAAAATACAAAGTTACATAAATTTAAACAAATCGATAAAAATGATTATCCTGATAAACCATTTTCCCTCTTTCTTTTTTTAAGTTGATTATTGTGTCGATAAACATTTTAGAATTTAGAAAACATGAAATTGCATAGAAGAGACATAGAGACATGTACTTTAATTTCAAATACGTATTCTAAGATTCACATTGCTGTTTTGTAACAATTCAGTATCCATATTTTGTAATAATATTTTATTATTCATAAATTCATTTTATTATTTTTGTCATGTAAATACCATATCAAGGAGTCATAGCTAAGGGTAAAAAACAAACTAGATCATCCAAGTTTCAGGGTGTAATGACCAAAATAAAGAATTATCCTTTTTACATAACTAGCTGCATGTGATTATTTTGTTATACTAATAAATATAGGAACCAAAGCTTCTACCTGATAAAGTCAAGCACTAAAGTTACTAACCATCCACTGCCTTTAGTTTTATAATAAAATATTTGCTGTTCAATAAAAAAAAAGTTACCAACATTCAAGTCATTGAAACACTCAATTATTTAGTTTAAAATTCAAATAAATAACTTTTTACATCTTATTGCATTAAACAAATTTATAGTGGCACAATAACGTTTACAATGATGCACATTTAACATCACACATACTTCTTTTTCTTTTTTGAAAACAAAGTGTCACCTAACTTGAATCAAATTATATAGAAGAGTAAATTACCGTTTTGGACATTGGTACATATGGTTTGGTCAATATAAGACATTTGTTCCAATTTTTGAAATGTTAGATAGCTCGGATCTATGTGGTTTTAACAAATTACAATGTCTCTCTTTGTACATATAAAAGAAAATGCTATTTTACATTTTTAATTTTTTCTAAAATTTTTCTTTTTTCCATTTTTCTTTTTTTTAATAAAATAAAATTTAATAAACCCCCATTTCATCCCCCCACCCCCCTCCCTTCCGCGGTCCCACATCCACCCCACTTTTTTTTTTCTTCTTTATTTCCGCCTCGAAACCCCACCGCACTCACATACCTCCTTATTTGTCTTCATTTTTCTTCATTCATTTTTCTCTCCTTACGACACACACCCCAGGAACCACTTAGGTCCGTCGTTGTACTCAAATATTAATCAAACTTTGTCCAATTTGGACCGATTCAACTTAATAAAACCTACAAATTAATTTTTTTAACTAACAATCCGGTTTGAATAAAAAAAATCAGATCTGGGAACCATTTTTTTAACTAGGGACCTATGCGTGAGAAAGATCCTAGAGGCAAGTCTAGGAAAGCCAAGATGTGTTTGATAGAGACGCAAAATCCTTAGTTGAGTCGAGAAGGAATTGTTGTATGTGCTTATTTGAACACACTTGTATGTGATAAGTTGCTTTATGACTTTTA